GTTACGAGTCATCAAAACTCGTTGATTTTGTGTCTATGTTTTAATTTGGTCGTTCAATTTGATGAGTCTGCGAGGTTGTGTAGTTTGATGAGTCTGTTATAATTCATGTTGTAATTTGGCTTCTAAGCGGTCTTCGAATCTTAGTTTCAACGTCACTTGTTGACAAGTCTTACACTGATACACTGGTAAACAGAGTTCAATGATTTGACATGGGACGAGTTCTGTAGGCATAGGAGCTTCTCGAAACTACTATACTACCATGAGGTAATCATAGGCTTACTGATGTTCTCCTTCCTGAAACAGTACTTGTAGTCTCTCTGCCTTTGTTATTGATTTTAATATTATCTTGAGAATTTTTTTGTTGTGATACGGTTTATTGTTCACTCTTTGTAATCTCCATACTCTATAAACTGTGAAAATTTTCATGATAATTTAATATAAGTTGGCAATTTTTCGACTGTATTCATTTTGAATGATCGAGAAAGTTTACTTTTTGTGCTTTGTACTCTTTTCAAATAGGTATAGGACCATGAGTGTTAAAAATTTGGAGTTCTATCTTAAAATGTCAACATTGTTAAGAGGGTAGCTCAAAACCTTATAAGTTGGTCTTTATTTACATCTTTATGTGATGTGGGACATTTTATCCCTTAACATATCCGTACAAGATGGTGACTTGTTTGAGCAGATCAATCTTAAAATTCGTGTACTCATTTTTAGAGTCTTAACTGGATCGAATTGCTCGTTGAAATTTAATGAGCTCTGATACAATATTAGGACTTGATGCTCCATTTTAAAAGGTCAACCTTCTTAAAAAGAATAATTCAAGACCTTATAAGTTAGTCTATATTTACATTTTTATTTGATGTGGGACATTTTATCCCTTAACAATTAGATGCAACAATCTTTGTTAGGCATGATTGACTCATTGATTGTGTAACTTCAAGCTTTATGAAAATTTAGACTTGTGGCTTACAAATAGATGACAATAAATTGACTTTCTTTTCTTCTTTTTAGTTGTTGAATTTTATCATATCCGTCTAGTACACAAAAGTTCGACCATGAATACCTACGAAATTAAGAAAGTCAATCTAGTAACAACTAAAACTGGTTAAATATAAGATACATTGTCATTCTTATTTTGTCAACTGACTCAATCACCTTCCAAACACTCTCATCAAACGACACAACCAAATTACAACATGGATTATAACAGACTCATCAAGCTACACAACCACGCAGACTCATCAAATTGAACAACCAAATTAAAACAGACAAAAAATCAACAAGTTTTGATGACTCGTAACAATACTAAATCCTTAGTTTAATTTCTTCAGAGTACAATGTACATTCCAATGAAATATTTACCAATGAGTAATGTCCGAATAAAATGTGGATCTGATCATAGTAACGAGGGAAGGAAGCTGAAGTATGACATACAAGATCACAGGTATGCAAGAGAGTGTGATTATTGGTGTGAGAAGCAGGACATTTTTTTTAGCAAATACAAGGAATAACGTACAACTAAAGGCCATCACTAAACATATGAGAGAGAAGAACAAAGAAATTAGACCGACAATCACTCTGATGGGCAAGTCAAAAAGATAGTCACGAACTTTATAGCGGGAGGTGTAAATGGATAAGAAGGACAGAACACTAGTGATAGAGAAAAAAAGTGCAAGGGCGTCTGAAATGGCGAAGACTTTGAAGAAACCTTCATTGGAGAAATTGGGTATGCCAGTAGAATGGTTTCCTCCGGGTACTTGGAATGCGGCAGCAAACGCCACTGTGGCAATGAGTGATGCTGCAACTGAGCTTGCATTTGCCATTCCTGTCATCCATTCTTTGTCTTTTGCAGCCATGTCAGCGTGATGTTCTTCAAAGCTGACAAGTGGTATCTCGGGAAGATCGAGCTCTGGATTTTCCTTCTTAGGAGATTTTTTAAACTTTACGAGCTCGGTCATTTTCTGCATCAATCGGGAAATTTGGTCCAAGATCAATTTTCGTATTCGATGAGGGTGCAAAATGGAAAAACTGGTCAGTGATTTATAACCTGAAATGGTTAAGAGAGAATGTTTTGTACCAGTTTCAAAAAAAGATTCGTTTTTTAAGTGCTACATTATTCCAGTGAATGCAGTATGTAGATGAAGGTAACAACGTCTCCTATAATTTCAATTAGAAATCCATTCTCAAACATTTTTTTTTG